CCCGAGTATGACATTGTTACGCTAAAAGTGTGTCATCATCGTCTTATTGGTGATCGTATTCTGGACGGTAATGGCACACTTTTACCGTGACTTTTTGATAGCTTTGCCGTTATTTTTTTTTACAGTGCAGTCTTACATAGTTTTTCCTTTTTTCTTATTGGCTTTGTTTCTGTTGTTCTGCATCTTTAGCTGTCAGAATGGAATGAGAAAAATAGCAGTAAAGTTACACAAAACTTTTTGACATTCTCACTTAGGTCCAGAGAACGTTCAGTTTCAGTTTTAGAGTATTTTGTTCTCGAGCAATTTAATTCTTTACCATGAGTGTCTATCAAATCCCAAACGAAAGTTCTAAAAAGTCCAGTGTCCAAGATTGGAGGAGTTTTGGAGAAGCGGAGAATCAACCCACCCAAATGTGTGACACTGTCTCCCAGATTTTATCGGACAGACTGTCAAAGATTGACAGATATTGTTAGTAGTTAGTTTAGAACATTCGACAATCAATAAGTTACCTGTCCAAATAACTGAAAGACAGTCTTTTAAGCTCGGATTCCGCAATTGAGTTGAAAAAATTGATCCTGAGTGTGATGAAAATATCGTGAGAATGAGACGAAAATATAGCAAGAAAAGTGTAGAAACGCGAAAAGACAAGCATACCATACTGTGACGCGTTTCGTCGAAAAAATAAATTCTAGTGCAGAATAACAAAAGTTCTTTGCATTTAATAAATGCTTCACTTGCTTAAAAACTGTTCGCTGACTTTTTAAAAAAAACTGTCTGTCAGAAAAACTTCCCCATCCTGACTGATAACCATCGGAAGCCCTGGTCGAAGGCAAAAAGTGTATCGATATATGATCAGATGAAAAGATGTGCTTATTTTGCATACTTTTTCGTTTTTTAGCAAAATTATTATATGAAAGTTTGAAATGAAACAAGAAGAAACTTAGATTTTACGTCATGCTTTCATCTCTTTCAGAGAATTAACGAAATATTCATCATTGGAATGTCAACAATAGTGTAGGATAGAAAATATCTCGTTATATTAATAATCCAAAAGAGATGAAATCAGGTAATTTAATTCGACTTTGTTTTTCTTTAAATCCCAAACTTTCATTCAATGAATTTCTTTGGTCTGTATAGTAATAGTATTCAAGCCATTCTTCTATTGCTTTCGTGGAAACTTCTCTTGTGCATTAATCCATCCATTTAGCATTGTACATTGCATCATCAACTATAAGGATCACTTCATTACAACAAACGTTTAGCTCTTTTATCATATGTTCCTGATATAAAGGATTGGGTCTTATTCTTTTTTGAATAAGTTATTTTTTTAAAGTAAACGTTACATATATACTACTCACAGCAAAAATACACATGATTAAGCTGCAACAGACTGCGGCTATTGTGCTAGCTGTTTTTGCCACTGTTGAATACACTTTACCTTAATTTATTGTTGTATCTTGTTTATGCACTAAGTTGATAAAATTATTAATAAATACTCATAGTGACGAGAATGAACCCAAAAGAGCTACACCAATATTTAAAATTGTCAAAAATTTGATAGATGAATGAATTATGAAACACCGATTTATCAAGACGTTCAACATAGGCCAAGGTAAAGATACTTAAAGATAATGTTTGCATACATGGACCAAAATATGTAGGCAGATCTTCGTGCAACGCCGGTATTCGTCGGCATCATAGTGAATTGGGATCCAATTGGTGTTCGTCGAGCATTCCACGGTGTCACCGTATATCGGATTTGATCTAAGGATGGATTTTATTTTGTTGTCCAAATGGTTGTTGTTTTGTTGCTGGATTAATTTCTACGTCCGATAATGTGAATTTTTTTTGAAGAAATACATCGGCATTGTTTGTTCCATATTCTATGAATACGTTGAAAAATAACAAGAGGTCCATTAGATCTGCACGAAATAAACAAGTTATCTAATTTCAATTTTTAATTATCACAACTTTTTTCAAGGTATCAGCTTTAGATAACTCTTTTTTATCATTATCTTGTTTACCTTTCTTTTGTACTCTAGATCTAAATTTAAAATTTGAATCATCAGACCAGTAATTTAGTGGACTCGATGTTCCTTCATTTGATGAATATGAGCGGCCGGATGAATTTCTTGCTCTTGTGAACAGTTTTGATTTACTATATTGATCACCGACTGATTTTATATCATTTTTATTCATTTTAAATTTGTTTGTCGCTGTTGTTGTTTCAATCATTTTTTTCAATTAGAGAACATATAAAATAATCCATTTAAAAAAAATTTAAGAAAATAAGCCATTTATTTATCAGTCAGATCCAAATTAATAAACATTTCAAAGAAAGACAAATTCTTAAACACAATTTCTATTTTCGTTTTATGATGAAATTTCATCCTATAATTAGGCGCATTTAATTTTCAGTTAAATTACACAACCAAGAAAGGGAAGAGTTTACGATGTCGACAATGGTTTTAAAAATCACTTTCACAAAAAATACACAGAAAGTTCTCTCTCAGTAGTAGTTAAACAAACTTAAGCTTTAATTAAAAAAACATTCTCGTTTTAGATGTTATCAAGAAATTTGTTGGGAGCAATTCGTGTTTTGTTAAATAGAAAATTTGTTGTAAATTCTGAATTATTACAAACATGTGATACAATCAGAACTTCGTTATCGTTTTGTTATTTTTCACACTCTGGTAGCGCACGTCTAGCAATGCAATCATCTACAATTACAACATCACTAAATAACAAGTCTAAAACTTTATCAGAATATAATTTAAAACCGGGATCGATAATACCATTAACTGTTCCAAAACGAGTACCTAAAAAACATCGTATAAGTCCTGAATTAACTACTATACAAACAAATGTGGATGTATTAACAACTACCGAGAACTATAGAGTAATAGCTTATGCAACAGCCGATTATTATAATTTAGATGATTTAAAAGAAAAATTATTATCATTATCATCAATATATCAGTTTCAATTGGCACCAATTTCCGATGATATTGAAGATGTTTTATGTTTACAAAATCGTTTAACAGATAATGAATCGACACTTGTCACAAATAATAGTTCTCGTGAAGCATTTATATTTGATGATGGTTGTATTGTTTACTGGAATATGACGAATGATGAACGAAAACAAATAATGAATTTAGTTAATGAAATAAGTGAGAATATTTATCCAGAATCATTAATTGAAGATGAAAAAGAAGAAATTTCATTTATTGAAGTTACAGCACCAAGTGCATTAACTAAAGATCTTATTCGTGTTACAAAACATTCATCAACAGAAAATTTATTAGATAAATATGCATTTTCAAATGCATTAGCATTATCTGTTAAATTAGGTAAAATTTTTATATGATATTTAAACATTAATTTGATGTTTAATTAATTTATATTGTAGGTGTATGGGAAACATTGTTAGATACAAATGTTGAATTTATTGCTGATTTAGCTGAACAATTAAAACGAGGTCAACATCCTCATATTAAAGCTGGTCTTATCCAACGAAAATCCGGTGAATTATATTCATTAAAACATGCCGTTAATCTAAGTCATGATTTTCTAGATACACCGGATTTCTATTGGGATAATCGTCGTTTAGAACAATTATATTTAAAAACATTCAATTATCTTGTTATTAGTAAACGAACAAAAGTTTTAAATGAACGTTTAAATTTTTCATTAGAAATGATTTCAGTTATTGAAGGTTTACAAAATGAAAAAAAACATGTTCGATTAGAATGGATAATCATCATTTTGATTTGTTGTGAAGTATTTTTTAATGTTATTGATCATTTAGATTTTTTCGGTGATTCATTCATACCAAAACATAAAAAATAACACTGAATAACCTTGTTTCTTTTGTCATTGTTCTTTTGATAGGTTTTGTTTTTCTATTTTTTTTTTTTGTTATAATATTTGTTTGACAAATTACCATATTGATTAAGAAAATAGACTTGGATGAATTGTATGGAATGTATTTACATTCAATTGAAGTCAAAATTTGTTCTTTGAAAATACATTATATCTATTTGACTAAATCATTTTGCTAAAATACGCACAATATGATCGAGGTAAAACAAAATTTAAAATATATATATGATAAACCGTTCAGTAGAACTTGTTTGAAAATAATGCAGCAATGATAAACATGATTTAGATCATTGAAAACTATTTTTCGATCTACTTTTTACATCATAAGTACAAATAAATGAGTTAGTATAAAACATGTGACAAAATAGTCGTAGGTGGGTGGGGTATGTATTTTTTGTTTATCATCAAATTTATTCATTGCGAAATGATCATAAAAAAAATAATACTTTTTATCACCAAATTAATTAACGAGATTTTTTCATTTTGCAAGCCAATTAATAAAGAGAGAAATATAGATTTTTTTTCCATCTAAGTAATGAAACGCAATACAATTAAGTATTTTTATTCATGAAGTCTTAAAAAAAGAAACTAAAAGCGTTTATAGAATATAGTTTCAAGCGTCCTTTCTTCCATCAACTTCAAAAACATACTTATACGCTTGGCATCATGACTAGGAGTGGGGGAACAGTTCTAATTCAGTTCTTTTGAACGGGAACTGGTAACAGTTCTTTTCCAAAAATTAAAATTGAAATAAAATCGGTCAACCTACTTATATTGACTTTGTGTAGTGCGCCACAGATAGATGGTATGTTTAGTCGACTAAACCAAGTCAATATAACTAGCTATATCGGTTTTATTTTATTTTGAATTCTTGAAAAGAACTGGTAATCAGTTCCAGGAACTGAATTGCTTACCAGTCCAAGAACTATAGGAACTGAAACTGTCCCATCCCTAATCATAACTAAAGTGCGATTAGTGGAATGGTGTTTTCTTACTCACTTTCAGTATCCATCTACGCTCTTATGAGCAAGGTGTACCACAGATGAGCTGCACTACACATTGAACGAGGAAAGAAGAACAACTGCATATATTTCTTACTGTTGACTACTACTAAGAAGGAAAAGAATCTAAATTTCTCTCTTAATTAATTGGTTTGTTAAATGGGAGATTTCATTTTTATTGACTTTTCGTTAATTAATTTGGTGATCAAAATACATTTTTCCCTCGTAGATATGTTCTATCGAATTATTTCGTTATAATCTAAACGATATTTTCTTTTTATCCTTTATTTCGCTCTATCATTGAGTGGACAAGTTACATCTATCAAGTAATTGCATGTTTATGAGAGAAAAGAAAGTACTGTACGAATAAGAAAATAAAATACATAAATTGATCAATATAAAAAAAAGAAAAGTAGCGAAATATATACTATACAAATAATTAATTTAAAAAAAAAAAAGGAAAGACGACAAAAAAGAAAATAAGTCAGATATTTAATGAAAATGCTTTCAAACACCGAGACGCATGATTCGAATGTTGTAATATCCAGGCGATCCAAAAGAGAAACAAAATTTGACTATGACGGTGAAAGGCAATGTTCAGAGAGTAGATGAGAGAAGATTACTTAAGCTATAAAAAAATACTATAAAATACACTGATTGAAATGTTTTTATATTTTTATTCTTGTATTACAAGTAATTTCAATTATTCGACAAAACAGTTATCATTTTCAATTTATTTATTTCAAATGACTATTCACAAGTCTTATCGAATCAATTATTTGACAGTTTGTATTTTAGTAGCCATTTTATCTAAGTATCAAGTACTTTCTAATTTTTTATAAATAATTATAATACAAAAAGCTTTCTTTTATATGTTTTTGTAAATTTTATTTTATACAATCACCGAATTATTAATTGACGATGGTATTGTTGGATAGGGTACATCATCATCATTGTATGAAAAATCAACAGTTGTACTTTGAGTTGAACCAAAATATCTTTTATTTGATTGTATTTGATTATAGAACGAGGATACTGGTAAACTACTATCATTAATTCCACTATAATAGTCAAGATCATCATGTTCCTCATCTTCGATAGAATCTCCGCCAGCATAGGTCACTTGTGGTACTTTCATCTTTGTTCTATGAAAATAAATAAAAATAAAATTTAGTATAAATGAGAGTCAAACTCTTTTATTTAACTTACTGTAATGATCGACGTAAAAATTGTAAGTAGACAAATGGACCGAGTAAAACAAAATACAAAATTGTTGTTGCATCGACAATACTTGAAAAAAATAAGAATTTTATTTTAAAAATAAGAATTGTATATAGAATTATATAATACTTACCACATACCATAACTAAAATTTTTACTAAAATTCAAAACAGTACCAATTACTTGAATTAAATTAACAAATGCTAATACCAAACAATAGTAATAAAAAGATCGTCGAACTAAATACAATAGATACACATTATGTAAGAGAGTTATGACATCAAAGAAGCGTCGTAATATATAATTAAATTATTTTTTTTCTTGAAGAGAAATCTATTTAATTTACCATTCGAAATAATCTAGCATACTAGCAACGACATCAAAGACATACAAATTCTAGAATTTTAAGTTACTATAGGAGATAAAATTTTGAACTATTTTAAAATATAAAGATTAAAATTAATTTTTCATTTGTATCAGTAGTACTCGGAAAAAAAATTGTGAAAGTTTTTATTTTATTTATCGATTTATTCTATTTTGAATGACATATGGTTCGACAAAATCCCTCACTTCCTCTCGAAAATAGAAACAAAATATTAGAGAATATGTCTCTTTTTGTACTAGCATGAGATGTCTGCTCATAAAGATCATAATTCTGAAAGTAAAAGATTGAACTGACGAAAACTTGTACTTTCGAGATTAATTCAAATGGTAAATGAAATTCTTTTTCAAGTTATATTATATCTTATACATTAGTTTATGGAAGCTTCTTAAAAATACAATTGTTTCTAATCAAAAATAAAAATAATTTACTAGGTAAATGTTTTTGATATCTTCGACACAAATATGGTATGAAAAAGGTGACTATATAAATCTAAAATGATCAAAAACTCAATCAAACTTTGAAGATCATCAAAGAGAAATTATATCATTTACGAATAGAAAAATGGCCGATGATACAAGTAAAAATTTTAATCCACCATAAGCATACAAGTTGTACGTCGGTATAAAACCGCTTGGTCTTGCACTATGATGAAATTCAAATATGCCCTAGAAAAACAATAAAATATAAAACAATTTTAATATATTAATAGATTGACAACTAACCTGAGTGACAGCATAACTAAGTGAAACTATAATAGAAATAAGTAATATTTTAATAGTACTTGACCATTGATGATTTGGATTATAGCGAACTAAAAATATTTACTTTTATTTTATATTAGATTCTTGTTTTTTTATCTATTTTCTACTTACCATAACATAATCCAAATAATAAAACACTTAACTCTGTACATAAAAGAGTAAATCTAAGTAATAACCAAATGATCTATAAAGAAAATATACTAGTAGTTTCTCTTGTAGTAATATGTAAAATGATGAAAATCTTACTTCAACAACAACATTTTGAGTATAAATAGATGAATTGAAAAATATCATCGAGAATATGCATCGAAGAATACTTGTCCAAGTAATAATCATTACTAACGTGATAACACTGAATAATAATGGTTTGTTTAAAGTTAGCCTTGTTCTTGAACGATACCATTTTTGAATTAGAAATAATAGAAATAATGAATTAAAAATCAATATAAACAAATCAAAATAACGCACGCTAGAAAAAAAAACAGACAAAATATAAATTTTAAATCAATCTTTTTTTTGACACTCATCATTTTAGCTTACGAATTTTTCTAATTTGAAAGATTTTTAACTACTATCGCGTTGAAAATAAAATATACGCAGATAAATTTTCAACTAAAAGTTTTCTCTATATGAGTTGACAGTGCAAAGTGTACTCTTCAAAATGGAAGTTAAATGAGATCTTAATTGTAACTGGGCATAGGAACGGATTTCTTATCGAATTTGACCTTAGACTGGTACCTAGTGGCTAGATATAGTCTTGAAGTCGCATGAAACATAAGTAATTGATCACATTAAATTTGGTGGCAAAGTTTTTTTGTCAAAAAGAGTTTAAAAACCGGTTAAAAATCGAGTTTGACGAAAATCAGCGTTTGCAGACTTCTTTATCTAGCATCGAAAAATTTATAACTCACTCACAATAGATTATAATGATCTGGGATCGTCAGGATGTACAGTATTTATGCTATTTTAGGAAATCTACGAAGAAAAGGAGGGATCCGCATAAGGTCAGTAATCGGCCCACTTCAATTTTTGTCTAAAAACGGTTCTGTGAATAGTAGAAAAGTATTTTTACTCAGTTTTAAGTAATTTCGCGTACTTTTGGTAACTAAAATTCAAGTAATTCCTCGTCAATAGGGCAATAATACCTTATCCCTCAAAGATCAGCTATAGTTTACGTAAAATGTGTTTTTCTCATGCTTCCATCACCTAGACGACAACGTAAATATATCGTTGGATAGCCTCTAAAATTCTCTATAGGCTGTGTGTAAAATAACAATTAACCGCAGTGCTTTGATAACAAAAATGGACAAATCCAGACTGATAGGCTTTTTCACACGGACTGGGATTAGACTGGAGAGCTTTAGCTGATAGTGGACTGGGACCGATTCGGACCAGGCCTCTAGTAAATTGGGACTGGATTGGACCGGAAAAATACCGGACTTGTCCACCTCTGTTTGATTGAGACGCACTATAGTCGATGGTCCTCGATTGTGTAGTCTTTTTTCTCTTAAACAAGAAAACATATATTTTTCTATATATCATTTCTAAGCTTATGAAATTTGCTACAAACTGGTAAGTTCACAATTTCAAGATCCGTGGGATTAGTTCCTGGGAAATGGGCCAGAAGTAAATGGACTAGGAAAAAATGTGACATACTTTCAGTTTTTCCTGTTTCTTACACTACCTATGGGGAAATTTTGTCGAAGTTTCACAACATTGGGGTCGTGCAGTTGCAACATCAAATGCGTGGTCACGTCTGAGCTTTCTATAATTTCACACGCGTTCACAAGTGAGAACTTCTTTTCACACGTGTCCACACACCATTTTATGATGTTCATGTGCGACTACAGTTCATTTCACAATATTCACGAATGTACACGCTGTTTTATATACTAAAATTTGCCCATGGGTAATAAAGAAACATGTACATTTTGTGTTATATACCATTTTAAAGCTCGTCGAACTTCCTGCAAAGTAAGCTACATATGATAGCTTTAAGACTAAGACTACTTATTCACGAAAAGTGAAAGTCATCAAAGGTCCTCGGTCTGTAATAACAATGACTCAAACCAAACAATACTAAAAGAGTAATAAAAAAAGAAATAATAAAGAAAACAACTAAGGTTAGAACCAGAAGTAGTAATCATTTGTTTAAAAAAAAGGCAATAAAAGAACATATAAATGCAGGTAAAAGGCACTGCTTTTTACCTGCATTTATGTGTTCTTTTTTTGCTGTGTCGTCGAATCGTGTTACTTTCTAAGCAGAAAGAAAGAAAGTAACACGATTTTCTTAACTGACAAACGTTTCACTGGAAGAGATACTGAAGTAAAGTTGTTTTGAAAAACATTACAGAAGAAAGACGACTACCTGACTCTGGGAGATTATTCTAATCAACAATAGTTTAATCAGTACCTTGATCAGTAGGTTCAGCCTTTGTAATTTTAGGCGGGGTATCAGTTTCGCTGGGAGCCCCAAGACTCGTATTAGGTGACCTCGGATAACCTCTAAAGTAAATGGAAACATAGACTATCAACCATACTGGATGTCGTGGCAATGTTATTTTTCAGGATAAAGTGGATAAATCTAAAAATAAAATACTCCAGTCTCCCTCAAAACACAACCAAACCGTTTGGAAACCTCAGAAAATACTCTCTCTCCCTTGATTAACATGATGACTGAGTCAGGAAAGTAAAAACATCTATTTTCTTATTATTCTAATTTTACGAGATTTTCTAGAAATTCAGCGTAAGAGAATGTATTAGTTTAGAGTTATTTTCATATTCCAACTATTCAATCTACTCGTCTGATCATAGTCCGAGGATTCGAAGCGGTTTGATTGTGTTTTGAGGGAGATTGGAGTATGTTATTTTTGTATAGTTACAGCACGCTTCGTATTTGTCCTGTTTTCCCTATATTTCCTGTTGTATGAGAAAATCCTGTTTTTCCTGTATTTTGACATTTTCCTGCAGTCTTACTGTTTACTGTGGTAAAATCTGTTAGAAAATCCCTGCCTCTTACGTGAATCGAACCAGCCAGCTAGACAAATATTCTTACTTCAGTTTCTTTTATCGTTCAGTCAACCAAGAGAAGAGAAGAGAAGACTAACATAAATGACGTTTACACTCAGGACTAGAATGTCCCCATAAAGACTGACTGTATAAATTCTACACACTCATGTCGAAGTACTAAACGAAAGAAGTAGAATCAAGTTCTAATGTGAGTTTCAAACACGTTTTACTGTCAAATTTTTCCTTGCCAGGTCATAGAAAGCTCCACAACGCAGTACAATAGTAAAAAGCCGCACTGACCTTTCCGCCAGCGGCGCAAACTTTTTTCTTGCCCTATGTCCAAAATTTTCATCGGAACCAAGCAATTTTCTACCGAAACGGGAACAAGACACAACAAGATTGGCTCCACCCATCTCTAGTTGCTTTACGTATAGGAAAAGAGGAAGATAGAAGAAAACAACAATAATAATACTGGACGGATAAATAAAAAGAGATATAAGTTCGATATACAATACATTATTTAACACATTGTGGTAAATCTCACTTATCATTTTTCTGCATTCGTTTATTTCCTGCATTTCTGAAAAAAAGTTAATTTTCCTGTTTTTCGAAGGGAAAAAATCCTCTTCTGTTCCTGTTTTTTGAAAGTGGATAGTACGAACCCTGCTATAGCTAAATTGATGGATGATTCTATACCAAACATATAATCAGTAATTTTCCTGAAAAATCAACTCATGTTAAACAGCGCTAAGAAAGTAAATATTTTTCATTCAATAAACCGTTTTGGCTACAGAGTGGTAGTGAGAGATATTCCTTTTTATTTTTTTAAAAACGATTTCTGGGGTTTAGTAGACTTTTTCTCATAAACCTAAGAGTATAGTTTCTCAGTACATGATTATTTATCTCAGAAAGCAAAACAAAAATAAAATAAGTTAGTCAGACTTTGTATTATAACAGATAAGTAAATCAACGTTCAATAGTGTTCATCTTAATATGTCTTATGTAGATGACGTAACAGGTAAATGAATTAACAAACTCAACGCAGTAAGCTATTTTCTTTTAAAATAATCGAATACGATATTAATATCTAGAATTATTTTACATGTAAGTATTTGAAAAGTAAAAATGAGAATCATGTGTTGACTTTACTTGTTCAAACCGTTTAAAAAGAAATATATGATCTCCATGGAAATATCAATGAGATTTTGATCACATATGTTAACATTTCTCTCTTGAAATAATCACATGACTATCTACCTGCAAAAGACATTGAGACGCGTTTTACGCGTGTGAAAATATAACAGAACGAAAAATCAATATAAACAATTAATACCGAACGACGATGATTTCCTCTCTTTCTTTCTCTCGCGCTTGTGAGTGTTTTGAAATGGATGATAGTAAAATCATCGGCAACAGCGTCATCAATGCGTAGCGTTCTTTTTTTTCTAATGGTTAAACAATACATATGTACTCGAGTACTCTATTTACTCGCTCTTGTCATCTGAATAAGAAAAAAAGTGAACAGTCAACAATTTTTTCATAAAAACTAAATCAAAATAGGCATATATAGACATTTTTGTTTCTTTATTTTTATTATATGGTGCCTGTAATTCGAAACTCACCTAAAAATTTTATTTTTGAAATGTAAGTCTAAATTTTCGAAAAACGCTTCGATTTCAGAAAAACTCAATTTTTTTTGCTTTTTCCTTTTTCTAACATTTTAAAAGCGTTTTTTTTCTTCGGATTCAGTATTACAAAACTGAGTATGAGAATGATGCTTGATCGAGGTCGAAATCAAAGGCCTATTCAGTATGGACGTCTTGGACCGACTCTTCCTCTAAAAAGTTCATAAACAATTTTACAAGCAAACCTATCTAGTTTTTTTTGTGAAGAAACGATGCCGATTTTTGTGTTTCATTAGAACTGTCATTAAACGAGCTTTAAAAGTACTTATCGTTTGTTTTTCTACTTTGTCACTGAGAAAAGTCTTTTTTTTCTAGATCAGAAGCGAAAAAATCGAAATTCTGCCAGTAATTCTTAGTTTTTTCCATCAGAACTCATATTTTATGCAATAGCAATACCATATTCGAAATTAGTATTAAAAGCTGAGTCAAACAATGAATACATTTTGTTTTAATTGAAGGATTTTTCGAAAATTTAGATCTTTCAAGTATTTTCAAATTTTCTATATGAAAAAAACTTTTCAAACATTAAAACACATATTTTCGGAATCAGCTCCACGCAACCTATCTAACCACGGATAAATAACTCGAAAAAATTGTTTACTTGAATTTCGAATTACGATAACCTTACATGATTCTCTGTAATTAACAGAGACGTTGATTCTGTCGTTCAAATCCAGAAGCACGTTTTTTTAAAGAGATTTTTTTAAAAGCTATTGAACATTATTGTCATGCTATAATGCATGTTACATATCAAAATAAAACAGAGATCTAAATACTTATTATATTTAGTGTAAAAATTAGATAAATGACTCAAGAAATACACTATGATCTATATTGACTCACAAATACCATTATTTCATTTATAATATTTTTAAGGAGTAACATTTTGAAATAGAATGAAGTCGTAAAAAACTTTTGTAAAAGAAATATATGATTTAATCTAAAATAGTTTGCGAATAAAACAAAGAGTGACTAGTATTTGTTAGAGAAAAACAATTTTTTTGCACGATACCTTCTCTCTCTATACAAACATTTATAATTTTTCTACTTCAATGATGTATGTAATGATGAGATGGATTTTTTTTTCTTTGAAAAATACTAGAATAACTTTCTTCTAAATGAGATAGTTGGCGTTTTTCATAAAAAAAATTTGAGAAGTCAGCAGGTCTACTACGTGAGAGTAACAAACGCATCAAAAACGTTCATGTCTATAATATAAACTGATTAACTAAACTGTCAAATCTATATTTTATCTTTGCTTTTTGTTTCTACTGTAAACTTTAAGTAACTAAATAATGTTCATTGATTTAATTTGATGCTTTTTCTTCATTGTTTTTTATCTTTTGTTAAGAGAAGTGTTTTTAAATTTCATTTGATTTTCCATTTGCTTTCTCGAGAACAATTCATTTTGTTCGTTCTCATATCATTGGCCAACTGTGTTATTTTTTCTTCTTTCCGCTTCGACTATTTTAATCAATTATCTGTTAAACATAACGTTTGTTCTAGATATGACATTTTTTATATAAACAAAGTAAGTATTTTTCAATGGGTAGTTTTCCTGGTCATGCTATACCAGGATCGATTTTTATCTTTCTTGGCTTATGGTGGATATATGCAACATGGTTACGCTATTTTATTTGTCGTATTCAACGAAAACCATTCTATATTACAACATCATTTCCATTTCATTGTTGTGCAGTTGGATTAAAACTACCATTAGAAGCATTTATTGTTCTATTCGGTACTACAGTGGGCATTGCTGTTGAACTAGGTGCTGGTCTGCAAAGAAATGTTGATCAAAATGGAAAATCATCTTTTATATTTGGTGCCAATAATTTACAACATTTTGCAATGTATTTTATGTTTTTTCTTGTTGGTATTCTTGAATTGTTATTACATTATCGTTTCCCTTTACCAAAACATATTGATACTGTTGTTGGTGCTATAGCATTTTCGGCCGAAGGCTTATTATTTTATTTTCATATTCATGCTCGTGATCCGGTTGATGTTCAACTTCACATATTACTTGTATTAGCGATTTCTGCCACTGTTATATCTGGTGTGTTTGAAATTATTCAGTCAGAACCAAAACAAGTTTATGCAACATTAATGCGTGGTTATTTCACCGTATTACAAGGCGTATGGTTTTATCAAACTGCATTCATTCTCTATAGTCCATTTCATGCACACTACGATATTACTACAGATCCTGAACAACATCGCACACTCATGCTAATATCCTATTATTTTGTATTACATATGGCTGCGATTCTTATTATTGTTTTATTATTAGCTCTATTGGCAAATCGTGTATCAAAACGTTACATGACAAAAACTTTAGATTATGAACAAATATTAATCGATGAAACAACTGTTGACAAGAATGATAATTATAATGATGAAGGTCCTGAGTATGATGAGAATAAAACAATGACAAATGGACACATGAAAGAACAAATAAAGTCTCAAAATTCATTATTATTAAACAGTTAATGTTATTTGCATATTGCTGATATTACAGTTTTGTCTTACTCTACACTGTCGTACATTCTTATTTGTAACTTGTTAAAGATAAATAAGAAAAAAAATAAATAAAAACTTACTGAGACGATGGTATTGTTTCTGTTCGAAATCGAACACATATTGGAGGTTTGCCAATCGTTGAAGGAATTGTTGAGGTATAATTATCATGTAGACTAACAGTTGAAAAATCCATCATTAATTAACGGCATGTGATGTAACTCAAAACATCTAAAAAATAGTTGAAACTATAATACTCCTGTATGCCAACTTATCGTGACACTTCAAAGTTCCGTCTTACATATGTAACTTTAAGAAACAGTAGAATGTTTCCGAGATGAGTTTTAAAAAAAAGTGAGAAATTATCGAAGATAGAGGAAAAATGATGAGAAGAGAAAAATTAGTTTATAATATATTAGATCCATTTTACTTTTTGTCATCGTGAGTTTACAGGATGCGAAATAGAATAGAAAATTCGAAGTGAAATATTTCATAAATAGAGACATACAATTCACGTACAAAAGAGTTCAATATCAAATAAGTGCAAAAAAAATTTTCATTTCAAAGTCGTATAGACGTATGCTAATAGAGAATTTTAATATATCTTTTACTTAATGAGACTATGTTGTTATTGTCTGTCTCGCATAAAAAGTTGAAATAATCACGCGAGAATAATCAAAAAAATTAAAAAACTATGAAGGTAATCGCTTCAGATTAGGACTTTCTCTTTATTTATTATTCAATATACAAATCCAAATTAATGCGTATAAGGTCGTGTAATGCTATCCTTTCATGTTAAATATAAGAAAAGATATTCAAAAATTCTCTACTTATATTAACAATTACTCACTTGACAGCATTAACATTTGAACAAACATTACTCTATAAAAGGGTGATTCTCTAAAATACAACTGTCAAAAGAAAAAATACTATAGATACACTCGTGAAATACATCTTTTATGTAAAATAAAAAATTATTATTGATCTATTGGATATTCGCAAATTTTTAATGGTATTTGAACACTAATTTTTTCTATTGTTCATGACGTTCTAGTATTTTTGAATAGACAGAATCAATGGGTGTTGTTTCATTTATCAAAATATCTTCAATTCTTATATCGACATGACCAATTTCGATAATGCAATATAATCATAATTCTCAACACTGTCCTTTGGTCCTTACTTTTGACATTATCTTATTTGAATAATTATCGAATGCGACATTTTTAAAGAGTAATGCAAAATGAATTGATTGTGTTTTCCTAAGAATAAAAAGCAAACGTTGTTATCGTTAACAATGAATTTCAAATCTTTATTTTCTCTTACGAGATACGCTTATTACGATTCATCTTAGCAGCATTCTTCTTCCTGGCGTTGATCAAAGATCATCAACAATACGTAAATAGTAGTTGCGGTATGCCGCTAACGAGGAGGTAACATATTTATCAGCATGCGTGTAATAATCAGTCGAATGAAGTATGATATTAACGAAGAACTATTACATTTCTTTATTTGGTCATTTTCAACATACTAACAACAAAAAAACAGCATACATGGCTCTTTGTTTTCTCCAGAGGTGCAGAATCTATCTGTGAGATTAGGAAATTCCCTCCTTTCTCAAAAACTTCCTCGACATAATCCACGAACAGAATTTCGTTTCACAAACTATTTGCAATTTTTCAAAAAATTTCCTCGAATCAATAACGTTTGCCCCCGACGATTGTCGGAGCAAACAAGCGGATTCTGCAACTCTGATTTTCTCTAACATGGATTGAAAATATGTAATACATTCCAGAGATCGAAAGAAGAAAAACAAGACTCTCGCCCATTTTTTATATCAAAGGTTTGAGATAAAAAGAAGCACTACTCATCAATGGGACACACGATGGCGAATGACGATTTTCAAATTCTTGTACAAGAACAACATTGGTACGTTACAACATTATGTGTGCGTTAAAAACACACACAGTCACGTTACGCACAGTGAAAGAGTCACTGATGATACGAGCAAAGACACCCGTACTTAATGGTACAGACAGATCGATACCCCTGTACGTCTTTTCAAACGAAATAAGGAGAGAATTATTGACAAGAACAATGGATGATAAAAGAATGATACCATCGGACACTGTCAAATAGAATAACAAAAATGGGCTATGATAATGATGTCAAGGTTTCTCCATCTTAAACGTTTGAGATAAAAAATGGGTGAGGGGCTTGTTTTTCTTCGTTCGTTCTCTGGAATATATCATATGCTTTCAATCCATGTAGAGAAAACAAAGAGCCATGTATAGATCATGTTGCTGTATTTTTGTTGTTAAAAATGACCGAATAAACAGGTCGAAATATCCAAATGAAAGGGTTCAAAACAGTCACACTAATTAATCTATTCTGTATTAAATCATTGCCCATTACAGTTTCGAACATTGCATATGTTATTGCAAACTTGAAATTCAATCCAAACTCGAAATTCGACTATACGGCAAGTTATGATCTTAAAATTATATTCTATTAGAGATGTAACAATATTTTTCAGCAAATGAACCTGCTGAGAACCAGTATACTTGAGAGCTTCTAACAACAATCATCAACAGTGACAAGTCAACGCGCCAAGAAAAAATAATTAGAATAAATTTTATAGGAAAAGAAGGAGAATAAGGAAGTAACAAAGACTCTCTGGTTCTCAAATATTGAATTTGTCGATAAACAAATGAATCTGAAACAGAACTTTTAGATAAAAGTAGGAATTAATTTTTTACACAGCTGAACACGAGATATAATTTGTCGCAGGATTCCTCGAGACAAGTCGCATCAAATCACAATATTAGTCTCGTGATTATCATCTCTCAAGACTACAAAAATCTGATATCTATTTGCTCTGAGTTAAATATAAAACCTTTCACAATGAATACCCTAACCATTGCTTTTTTCAATAAAATATTGTTAATATGCCATTGGATACTAATTGTTTTATCATAATACGTTTGTTTCATCGTTATATCCATATCACACAAATTGACAGAATTTTGAACTATTTTTCACATTTATTTGGATGAAGTGTTTATCTTCTTTCGTAAAACTAAGCTTTGTCATCATGACATAATAATAAATATATGTTAAGTAAAATTCAATAATTTATGTAAGATATCCGCTTCCATGCGCTAATTCGACTTTGATACTGTATCTATCGATGAATCTTATAATACTCGTAATCCATCTGAAATTAGTGGTGTTTTAATGCTTGTTGAAAATTTTGAAATAATGATTATGAACGAGGTTAGGCTAGTAACGACTATTCATCAGTTGATCATACCATAAATGTGCATAATACTTTCTCTTATGAGCTTGTTGTATATGAAGTCTTTGCTTGATGACCGACATTGGAGTTGTCCTATACAAGTCTAACAGAACAGAAAAGAGAAAAATGTATAATAACTGAAATATTTAAAGTGTTTTGTATTTTGTCAAGTTTTTCCTATCTATAATAGTGTTCTCACTGCACATAGACTGATACAACTTTATCATTGTAATCTGTTAAATTCTGATACTTCTGACATGTCAGACTAATAGTAAAATAGCTTTTCATACAGCGTAGATCTGTCTGTTATACAAACAACATATTGAATACATCATTATATTTAAAACACTTCTGCATCTTGAATCTGAACAAAATATTTTCAACATTACAAAGAAAAAGTCATTTCTATAAACAAGCATTCTTTCTATTCATAAGCTCCTAATCAGAAACGTCATTGGAAAAAGTGATCAATCAAAAAAAAATGTCTAAAATTAAAATAAAAAATGTAGGGTTTTACTGTGTAGACATGCGACGGTAATAAGAATTCCAGTTTGCTGATTATTTATACTGAGAATAACTTTTATTTTCTACCCTCTTTAAAAAAGAGAGTCTTGTTCTGGTTTCACTTAATTTTAATAAAAATAGATACTCGTACTTTTTAAAAAAATATGCAATAAAGCTATCTCAGAAATCGGAGATATCTCTCTCAGTTAAAATCAGCTGAGTTCTATGAAACGGTACGTTAAACAGTGATGGTCCGCAAAATACTGCAACTTTTTAGCATAGTTATCGTATTCTAGAAAAAAAGACTATTAACTATAAAAAATAAATGTTTAGGGTGGTTTTATGATTTGTAAATCCTTTAATTTATGTTGTGTTAAAAGTTCTATAGAATTAGATTGAATACTCACTAATTAGAGCGCAAATAAAGATTAAAATGTTCTAAAATAGTACGAATATTAACATAGAGTAACGTTTTGATGTGAGGCTGACAAATATTAGGTATTAGATAAACAAAGGAAATTTTTGTTGAATATACATTCTTATTGTGAAATCACAAACTAGTACAGGGATCATAGACAAAAACTTCAGAAAAACGACAGAAATCTTCTCCTTCCTAACCGGGCTGTAAAAAGAGAGATGGGACTGTAGAGAAATTTTAGAAGTGAAAAACGTACAGAAAATATTAAATTCATCATAAAATAATATGACTAAAAAAAAATACACCTGCAGAAATTATAGCTTTAATTAATACAACAATTTCTGAAACTTAGTTGTCACCGAACTTTGGCTCAAGTTTGGAGTATCTGATGAATGACTTCCGCTTAAGTTAACCACTTCTTCAACCGTGAGTAAAATCTAACTTCACACGCAGATCCACACTCGATTTTTATATTATCCTTAATTTAACTTATCTCTATTATCGTCATGTGAATGATGAGAGCATAATATACTTGATTTTTTTGTACAAACTACATCAATGTTGGATTGATTCTCGAATCAGAAATCTATCACTGTACCTCAAAAGAGAAAAAGAGACTCGTTTTCAGCATGAAATATTTCTCTTGCTTTAAATCTTAATATTATTTTTAGTACAAAATACTTTTCTTTCAATAAGTAGCAACAACGAGGAGAATTGTTGCATAAGTAGCAACGGTTTGTAATCGGGTAATCCAACTTTTACCTTAAAATTCTATTCGATGATCCAACGCGATTACTGAGCGATCTCATGACAGCTATTTTTTTCTGCTCTGCTTGAGTAAACTAACAAAAGTCATTTTTACGACTTGTTCTGTCTGCAAGACATTAGCAAATACAGAAGAGAAAAGTAGAAAGCTTTCTGAGATTCATATGATGCCCAAATTTTCTGTCTGTATCGGTATTCCTTTTACAGGTGTTCCCTCAAAAATACGGTAATATTCAAGTTGGTACTATACTGGTTTTCTATTGATTTTTCGACGTTATGTACATAAAATGATTGGCTTGAATTTATTCAAATAATTGCACATAACGTATAACACAAAAAGCATGTTGATACGATATAGTTTTTCGTGACACTAGTTTAAGTACATAAATTTTTGAAGAAAAAAGGACAAGAAATATATTTTGCGGTGTCTTTTGTTCGTTCATAAGATAATAAAATGAAAGATGAATAAAATCACAAAGTTTCAAAGGTTTAACAATAAACTCGTGTGATATTTCTAATTGTTGTTAACATATATTGTTGTGTTTGTTGAATCGTTACTTTTTTATTTATTTTTATGCAAATATTGTTATGGTATGTTTTTTTCTACGTAGTATAGTTTTAGCGGTATTCTGTTTCCTATAGCTGAGTTCACTATTTCGACAATAGTTTGCTGTCTGCTACTCTTATTTTAATTATTATTATTATTAAATTAAATGTCTATATTTTGACTTTATTCAATTTAAGATCTTTTGATTAAGATATAAATATGTCTTTGAAAAGGCGTAAAGCAAATTTAAAATATACCTGAAGACAAAAAGATTAACAAGATGAGTACAGGTGACGACAATACAAATATGTCAACACCTCAGTCAATAATCAATGGTGAAACTCGTATGAATGAAAGTGGAAACAATAATAATAATACTGGTTCAACGGAACTCGCTTATTTACCTATTGGATGTTCAGTTAGTGCGAAATATCGTGGTGCATTTTGTGAAGCGGTTGTTAAAAATGTTGATAAACAAGTTAAATTAAAGGTATCCATTTGCGATAGTGGAGAACAAATGAGTATCAATGAAGAACAAGTAATTGCTGGCACATTAAAAATTGGTAATACTGTAACGATAAAAACAGCAGGAACAGCAAATCGTCGTACATCAAACGATTCAAATTCAAGTAATCATAATCATCGTACAAATACGGCGCACTACGGAGAGGAAAAACAAGCAATAATTAAACAAATAAATGATAATAGTTTATATACTGTGGTGTTTGATGATGGCGATGAAAAATCTTTAAGACGTTCGTCATTATGCGTACAAGGTATCGTATTTTTTGTAGTCTATAGAGCAGAATTTTTGCAGTCGTTTACAGTACCATTGAAACTTTACATTTACAAATTTTATAATCAGAAGCGATTGTACAATGACTACTCAAAACTTTCGTTCCATAATCTTCGCAACATAGCAGAGAAGAAGAAGAAATTACTCATAGATGCGAGCGTTATTTGAGAGAAACATGATACACTTTTTGTTTGTTTTCTTTCAACTAGGTATACGTCTCTATTCGTCACAACAAACAACTCATCATCAAAAGAAGGCACTGAGTGAAATACCAGAAACAACGTTTACCACATCAGCACCAAGTGCTCCACTTTCTACTGATAGTTCTATTACAACTTCGAGAGTGATTCAACCCGAGACAATTGTTGCTGTATGTCGAAAACCAATAACAACAACAGGAACACAGACACAACAAATTTGTTTTCCTGGTTTAGTCTTGAAACGTAAAGCATTAGCTGATTATGTATGGGTAAAAAGTTTTTTAAATGGACGAGAATACGTAATTACCCGTGATGAAATACACAAATATCATAATAATAATGATATACAGAATTCAATACGTGCAGTATCAAAACAAGCATTTAATGCATGTGAAAAATATTTAAAACATGGCATAATTCCAAAAATATGGACAGATAAGAGAAAATCGTCGAAAAATGATGAACAAAATCTAATGAATAATTTGAGTGATGATGATGAAAATGATAGTGAATCAGAAGAAGATAGTCAATCAGATGATGATGAAACGGTGGAACAAAAAGATTCATTTGTTGCACAATTATTTGCATTTATGGATGATAGAGGTAAGCCTTTTACGTTTTCAATCAACACTTAAAACTTGGAAAGTTTGTGATGAAGAGCTCTCATATTTTTCTGATGAAATGAATTTGAACAATGATTTTTAGGAACTCCTATCAACAACATACCAAAAGTGAGTAATTATGATCTGGATTTACATCGACTATTCAAAGTTGTACGTATAATGGGTGGTTACAACAAAGTAAGTTTATTTAAATTTTGTCCTGATTGAAAGATTATTTTTTTTGTGTTGTTAGGTAACAAAGAATGAGAGATGGCGCCGTGTACATATCAAAATGGGTTTGTCCTTAACTGGAGCAAATAATGGCCATTTAATTGAAAGTGCCTATAAAAAGTGAGACGATTTTTATTGATTTTATTGCATCTATCTATTTCCTTTTTATTTACAAAGATATCTTCTCTCGTACGAAGAAATATTGAAAAAATTAGGTTCGATGAATGGACAGAACACTTACATGGGTGTAAGATCATCTTTAGGCGGTGAATCAAGACGCAGTTTAATGCGTGTACGTGTACAAGAGAAGCCAGCACCAATCAAAAAAAGAGTAAGTATATTTAGTGCGAGAAAAATGAAATAACCCTGTATCACAGGCTTCAATTTCATATGTGTCCAAAAACCTTAGATATACAGTGTAAAGACCACCACATAAAGTGTTTATTGCTGGCAGAACCTTGGATCAGGTATACTTTTGAATTGGCGATAGTTTTCTCTTTTTAAATGATACCTGACTTGTCCATTTGAAATTTGCACTTCAAATCACTCTTTTAATTAAAGATTATGTACACATCATAATTAACAATACTCTAATATTTCACAGACATAGTTAATCTTTCGTTTAGGCTCGTAAAAGTAGTACAGCAACAAATGATTCATCATCCACACCTCATCGGAATCGCGGTTCAGAATCAACGGAAAAAAGATCACCATCACCGAGCACGAATGTCTCGTCAAAAAAGAAGAAACAACGAAAATCTCCTAGTGATAACGATCAGAATGAAGATAGCGATGTAGACAAACCAAGTAAAACAAAAAGAACAACGGTTCGTCGAAAAACGAAAGCAAAATCAAAATTGCTTTCGTCTTCATCTTCCTCTACCTCTTCATCTGGCTCGTCCGATTCATCATCTGACCGTTCTAACGAATCACAAGAAACAAAACGTCGATATACGAAAAAAAAGAAAACAATCAATCATGGATTGATACCGAAACAAGAACAAGAAGTATTATCGAAAAAAGTCTTGATCTCATCAACAACGAGTGCAAAAAAGATGCCAACCACAACATTAAAACAGGCATTGACAAAAATTATCACAAAACCTATTAGCGAGACAACGAAAAAGCTCCAAATGCCCTTAGTTAAAAAACCAGCAGTAACTAATGAACCGATCAAGCACAAATCAAAAGATAATATTCAAACCAAAGGTGAATTAAAAACAAAACTAGAAAGAAAAAGTTCACATGATGTAATAACAACATCTAAAAAGACCTCGTTGCCGGCAAATACAATAGTAAAAAGTGAAAAAGGAAATGTGAATAATCAAAAAATAACGGGAAAAACAGCTACAACAAGTTCAGCAAATGTTTCAAAACAGAAAATACCGGTAGATCAACATATTCTCATTAAAAAGCAGCAACAACAGACTAATTCAGGTAAACAACTGCAACCATCAAAACCGATCAATGAACATTCCAAAACAACAATCGTCTCGACTACGAAACAACAAAACACAAATAATAAAATCAAATTCCCAACAAAATTAACAGTATCAAAAAATAAATTAATGACAGACAAAAGTGACAGTACAGACGGACCTTGTAAGTATCTACATTAAAATTCTTTTTCACGCTTAGATAGATAAGATAGAATAGAATATATGTAATACATTTAGCTTGAAAAGAGTAAAAATTGATTATTTATATACAGACAAATATATCCCAAATATATTCTCTTCTGTGTCACAGAGACTACCTATCAACGTCGTCTAACCTGTTGTTCATATTCTCAAGATGTCACAAATTTTATTGGACATAAACTCATTGATGATAGTTAGTAACTAGTTTCTTGCTCTTCATTTTAGTATCAAAGATATCCTCAGCCTCTCGTCCTATCTCTGTATCTTCGTCTGATCATGGTACCATTAAACATTCGTCTGAACAAAAAAAAATACTGAAAAATACACCTAGTTCAACTAAAGTACAACAACAACAACATCAGAATCGATCAAATATTAATCAATCTTTATCATCAAAGAAGATGAAACCATCGACAGTAAACAAGGATACGAGTAAAACTGATAAAACATCGTTATCCAAAGATCAAAAATCGTCCATAAAAGCAACAAATCGATCAAATGATGAACGAAAACATAAACTTTCCAATACGACAGATTCGTAGGTTTAAAAAGCTAGATGACTATTCACATCTGAATTCTATTCTTGTTTTAGAAAATTAATTCCTTCAACCGGTGTTATAGATAAAAAGAAGGATGAGCAGGTGAAACTGACAAATGCTCAAGAACGTGTATCAAGAATTAACTTACAAGAGAAAATAAAAACAAGTAAGTTAAATTGACTTGAATATTTTGAATATTTTTATTTCTCTTTTTTCACAAAGATTCAAATACGACGAATGTATCAAAAATTAAATCAGCGAATGATTCTCGGAAGCAAAATGAACACCACGAGATATGGGATAAAAAATCGATGAAAAAATCAAGAACAACATCTTCGTCTTCTCCATCAGATATTGAAATAGCAAAAATTAATAATAATTTACCATCTGAAAGTAAAATATTTTGCAACAAAAATTCCAACAATAATGAATTAAAACAAGTGCAAGAAACAGAAATTATTCAAATAAGTCCAACGTCGCCTTCTCCACCACCGTTACAAGAACAACAAATAGGACCACCAACATTGAGTTTTAATACAAATTTCTATTATGATGATGAACAACCCAACGAAAATCCTCATCATCATTATACGCCGCCATTCTCAACAAATTTATCCTATACGACAGGTATTTAATTAAATAAAATACAATCTAACTGCGGAAAGATGACTATTATAAATATTTGAATCGTTGATTGATTCGGCACGAGAAGTTCTTTCTTTCATCCAACAGAATATCAAGTGTAACTAGTAAGATGTAGATTTCCCTAACAAAATCTTTTTAATATTTGGTTATCTAATATGAGTAGAGTTAGAAGACAAATTTTTCACATGTTAAAGGTACGAACTTATTTTCAACCTGCTGTGACTGTAACTCAACAGTAGATATGTCACACGCAAAGTTTTATTAAATGATTATTTTCATAAATTCGAATGATGTTGAAGAAATTCTCAGTTTATTTTTATTTAGGTACTGTTCTTCTACCACCACTCACAATGTCTGTCGCACATATACCTACTAAGTCCTATCCTGCTGAAAGTTTCATTGAAGAAACGATACCAGATCAATTAACAATTCCAGCTACAACAACATCCGATCAGCCTCTGTTGACAAAGAGCCACATTGATGCCTATAATTTTGATGAAAATGACAATAATGACGATCAGCTAGAATCAAAGAAACGTCGTTATAACAGCATTGAAAATAATATTGATAGCCCAGATTTACTCTACGTGTCGTCTTCTTCAAGTTGTCATGATGAAAATATCGTTGTTATATCATCATCTGAAGTATCGGTCGATGATCAACAACAACCGCCCTCAAAACGGGCAAGACGTTCGATGTCATCACAAGAAAGTGGAGATACATTAAGGTAAATATTATTCTATTTTGATTTGTTAACAACTTATTGTTTATTAAATATTTTTTAGCAGTAGTACAAGTAGTATACATAAACATCCGATGAATCAGTCAACGAAACTATCGTCAAGCAAACACGAGTATTTCAGTAACTATTCAGATACACCAGCAAATGCCAATGCAAGTGGTATTCTTGATATGACTGATATAAATCGACCAGGTGGAATGTCATTCAGCGATATTAAAGTAAATGATATATTACGTGTATGTTGGGGAGTTAATTTGTACATAGCAAGATGTATGGAAAAAAATGAAAAAACTGGAAAATTGTCTGTTCATTATAATGGCTGGAACTCAAGGTCTGTTTCATTTTCATTTTATTATTACCTAGTGATTTATGCCTGAATTTTTATGAGACATAGCTCTAATAGATAAGAACGATGAACAGAACAAAACTTAAGGATAAAGTGATTCGAGAAACGAGCTCATTTGGCTACTTAAAGAAAAATGACTCAAGTTTTTGTAGTCTAGATCTAGCAGCTGCATCTACATAAATTACACCCAAGATTGGGTCATTTTTGCTTAGGTAATAGTCTTTAATCCTGTCGAACACGTTAACAAACAAGGGTCAGTTCTGTCTCTCAATGTTACTGCTGAACATTCGCAAGATTCAAAATGAGCTTTTCTTAAGTTTTGAACCATAAGATATAAGACACTCGACATGTATTATGTATTATTATTAATGTAGGCTCTCGGAATTTTTCATATAAAATTTATTAGAACGAATAGATAGTATTTGAATAGTATATCAAAATATTTGTTTATTTTAAGGTACGACGAATGGATATCACCACATCAAGTTGTTGAATTATGTGATCAAAGTGTATGGCCTATTCGTCGTCGTCGTACAAGTCAAGTGAATACACTCAACACGACACGTCAATCATCATTTGTCGATTCATCTTCATCATCTTCAACACCAGCAATGGTTGATATAAATTCATCAACAATGGCAACACTAATGGCTATGGACGAAAAACAAATGGATGTTAAAAATGATATTATCAAATTATGTAATATTGAACAACATGAAGAACAACTAGGTCATTTTCATTCTCTGGAAGAAGTGACGAAAGAAAAACCAGTCAACAGTTCACTACCCGTGATATCAATATTATCCATTCCAGTATCTTCTTCGATTTCTTCAACATCGTATAAACCAGATGAGGAAGAAGACTATGACGAAGACCGTTTCAGTGATGTTTCTTCAATAACAATAACCGAAGCAAACACAAACATAAGGTAAAATATGCCTATTCTATAAACATTACAATGAACTGAAACTTCTTATATTGATTTATAGTGAACAAAAATTTATTGGACATGATCTACCAAATAATGAGTTGGAAGACAGCAATTTATATCGAATGGAACAAAAACAGTCATATAAAGATGAAACTAGGCGGCGAACAATATCCAATGACGCTAACAATATCCAATATCTAATTGAAGCAGATGAACTTGAAAACGATACCAATAATGAAGAGGAGCAACAACAACAACAACAGCAACGGCGTCTATCGGTTTCGAAAGAAATAGAGAATGATGTACCTCTAGTAGCAAATAAGAAAACTGATCATCATGAACAACGACGACAGTCTGCTATTTCAGCAACGGTTATCACCACACCTATCAAGGTATGTCTTTTATGAAGAAAATTTGAAAGTACAGAACACGTTGCATCCTTCTTTTTATTTTAGCAAGAACCAGTTGCTAAAGTAGAACCAGATTATGAGAATAATTTGTTCAAAATTATTACACGCATCGAAACGTAAGAATATTTTCATAAATAACTATTTTACTCAATTTCATTTTTACGCTTTTTTTTAAGCTTTGACAGTCATGAAATACCATTACATGTCAAAGAAGAAACGATTGATCCTCTAAATATGGAAATTTGCAATCCCATAGAGCAACAGTCTATGGTGATATCAATACAAGAAGCAAAACAACAACACGATGAAGGACTGCTATTAAAGCAATCGCCGTTACAACCGATACAAAGTCCTGTTTCTACCACTCCAACGGCTACCAGTTCTCGACGTTCATCTGTTCGCCAGAAAAATCGTCGCTCGTTAAGAGAATCAGTTACGAACAGTTCTAATCATAATAATAGCAATTCAAAGAGAAAGTCAAAAGTCGATAGTGTAACAATATTATCAAATCAAAATGATAACAGAGAACGAAAACGTCTTAATTCAACTACCGACAGTTATGAGCAAGGTACAAATAATTTATCTTCATCTTATTCAATAACTGGACTATTTGAAATAAATGATGCGAGAGATGAACGCTGTAAGTGTATCATTTCTTTTCTGCTGCAATTAAACTTCATTATTTTTATTGTTATTTTTTTTCTAGCTAAACGTTATCGGTCAAATGGACGACGTAGTAGAAAAGTAGTCAATCAACATGGTAAGAAATGATAAGATATTATTATTTTTTGTTTTCAATATAGTAGAATGTATTTAGATTATGAAAATGATGATTTTCTATCAAATTCACCAGCAAATAATACCATTCGTCAACAACTAGAAGAAATGTTTAAAAATTGTCCTAGCAGATATAATTTTGTTGAGCTGAGTAAGTTAATTTATCTAATCTTGCCTCTCCGGTATATATATATATATATATATATAATACCTTTTATTATTATTTTTCTGTAGATAATAATCTTGATGGTGAAGAACGTTTACAACATATTAAAGATAAAATGCGTGAATGTCAAAAAGTATTTTTCAATTTAAGAAATGCTTTAACAAAAGTTGAAAGTCAACGAAAAATGTTTGTTAAAAAAATGGTACAAAAAACAACTGTACGTTCAACTGGTAAGAATTTATATTTAGCTGAAAAATAATATTCTGTGTATTAAATGGATAATATTAATCTATAAAATTTTGTACTATGACTATTTTTAGTAACATCCTCAGATGTAGTATCAACCGATGATCAAAGTCTCGTGTCTAATAATAATATGGATAATAATGGTACAAATAATGGTGATGCAGTGATGCAACAATCTATTTCTACAAATAACTAACGTGTTTATCTTTTTTTTTATTTATTAATTATTTTCCGTTCTAGGAGACTAATATTTTTTCTATTTTGTGTAAATTAAAAAAATTATATTTGAAATTTGATCAGTTTCATATTTATACATATATATCCTATTTTCCTATATATCCTAGTTTAACAACATTTGATTGAATATATATGTATATCAACAACCTGTCCGAGTTTTTTCTTTGTTTTTGCTTTTTAACGTTTTTGTTTAGAAGAGTTGTTTGCTTTTCTTTTTTCTTCTCAAGTCTGATATTGATGACGAATATATATATTTTTTCTCTCTAATCCGAATTATTCACAATTTTGCATTCATACTATGGACTATCTCGTATGCGTGCTTTTTGCTTTGTAACATCTTGCTTGACTCTTTCAGGACGGGAGAAACATATATACGTCATGGATGTTTTCTTACCCCTACAGTACTTCGCAAAAGTAGCGATATGCCTGTAACTCAAGAACCATGATAGCTAGAGACTTCTAATTTTGTGTGGTCATAGCTCTTACCAAGTGCTGAGCACCCACCAACTGTGGACCTCTTTTACTAGATGGTTCGTGAGATATAAGC